TGGAGGGAGATGAACATTGGCAAAATACTATGTCAGATGCTGTCATGTCCGAGCCGGCTCCAAAATTAAGAGAATTATTTACCATAATCCTCATATTTTGCCAACCATCTGATCCCTTGCAGCTATGGAACAAATTTCGGGAAGATTTGTGTCAAGATATATTATACAGAATGCGTAATGAGACCCAGGATATGACATTAGCATATAGTGATGACATATACAATGATGGACTCATCATAATTGAAGATAAGATTCATGAGATTTGTGATAAATCATTAACTGATTTTGGGCTTCCTTCAACAAAAAGGAATAACACACACCATAATTTGGATCCTTTAGAAATAGCATTGCGGAAGCCATACGATGTAAATGAATTAAATGAGTATATTACTGTAAATGAACCCAAGTTAGTTAATGACCAGGTGATGGCATACAATAGTGTTATGCACAGTGTTCGTTTCAATGAGGGAAAAATATTTTTTTTGGATGCTCCAGGCGGAACCGGCAAAACTTTCATTACTAATTTGATATTAGCAAAAGTAAGGTCTCAGGGAAAACTAGCTTTGGCAGTAGCGTCATCAGGAATCGCTGCAACTTTATTAGCTGGTGGACGCACAGCTCATTCCACTTTTAAACTGCCCCTAACCGTTTCGTTACAGAAAGATAGCGTGTGCTCTATTCGTAAAAATGGCCCTTTAGGAAAAGTTTTGCAAGACGTCACTTTAATAATCTGGGATGAATGTACCATGATTCATAGAGCTCACGTAGAGGCTCTAGATAGGACTCTTAGAGATATTAGAAGCTGTGATAAAATCATGGGTTGGGATTACTGTCATGTTTGCTGGGGATTTTCGGCAAACTTTACCAGTAGTAGTAAGAGGAACTAGAGCAGACATTGTAAAATCTTGCCTCAAAAGTTCTCCATTATGGAAATTTGTTCATACCTTAAATCTATCTACGAACATGAGAGCACATTTGGGGGGAGGTAGTACAAATTTTCCTTTGAAGTTACTTTTAATTGGAGACGGAAAAGTACCTCATTTTGAAAATAAAATACCTATTGATCAAGATTTAGGAGAAAAAGTGACTAGCATTGAGAGTTTAATATCAAAAGTTTACCCAGATATCGTCGAAATAGAAAATAAAGATTATCAATGGATGTGTCAACGAGCAATATTGGCGGCGAGAAACAGTAGTGTTGACGAAATTAACGATTTAATGTTAACTAAACTTCCAGGGGATGGGGGGACCTACACCTCTATTGATAATGTAATGGATCAAGAAGATGCAATCCATTATCCACAGGAATTTCTTAATTCTTTAAACCCGAGTGGCCTCCCCCCACATTCTCTCAAGTTAAAAATTGGTGCCCCAATTATTTTACTTAGAAATCTTAAGCCACCAAATTTATGTAACGGGACTCGACTTCAGGTTAAATTTCTTCGCAATAACGTGATCGTTGCAACAGTTTTGACTGGTCCAGCGGTTGGTCAAACAGTACTTATATCTCGGATCCTAATGATTCCAAATGATTTGCCTTTTCATTTTAAAAGAGTCCAATTCCCAATTAAATTATCTTTTGCCGTAACGATAAATAAATCACAGGGGCAAACATTTAAATATGTAGGATTAGATTTACGGCAAGACTGTTTTTCGCACGGCCAACTATATGTCGCGTTGTCAAGATCAGGTTGCGGAAACAATCAATATATTCTTCTGCCACAAGAAAATAAAACGAAAAATATAATTTACTCAGAAGTACTTTAAAATAATATTTTAACCCGGTTTAAAGTAGACGGACACTCCCGCCTGTAGTCGTAATTCTTATGTGTCTGGCTGAATGTCGAACACACAGACAGCTATTGCCTGCGACTTATACAATTTAACTTAATCTATATTTTTCTTAATATTATAAAGCTGAAAAGTTTGGTTGTTTGTTATGAACGCGGTAATCTCGGGAAATACTGATCTGATATGAAAACTGTTTAAATATTCAATAGTCCATTTATTGAGGGAGGCTATAATATAGGCAATATTTTATCTCGGTATTTCCACGGAAACGAGAAAAACGCGGGTGAAACCGCGGGGCACAGCTAGTCTTCTATATAAACAAAATGACAGAGGCTTACCGTCGTACACCCATCACGGAAAAACTAGTGGACAACAATTAGATTTTCTAAGTTTTATTTCTTAGACGCTTGGCCCTTATCAAATAAGTAAATATTGTGATAACTTCCTTTATTATAAAGTTATTAAAGTTTTAATAAACAACGATTTTTATACGGGGTATTTCACACGGTCAACTGTACGTCACTTGTTCTCGCGTTACTAATCCATATAATTTATATATTTTAACTACAAACAGAGCAACGAATAACATTGATTACACATTAGATTAGGTTGTATGGTCTACGGCTCTTGCCTACCTTAATTGGATAATAATTATTGTAACAACGAAAAAATATCTATTATCTATGCTTCTTAGTCATGGGCGTTTTTGATTTGAACGCAAACGGATATTTAGATATCAGATTTCAAAATCGATTTCAAAATCCGTTTTTAAAAATCTGACTTCAGTAGCTACGCCAATTCGATTGGGTATTTAGATTTCGTTTTATAAGTTAACGAAACGACAAACGCAAATGTAATACAGAAACAGATTTGCGCGATTATCCTTTATGCTTCAATCTAGGCTTAGGACTAGCAGAAAAGTTTTGTATGAAATTAAAACTTATCCAACGCATTTTAAAATCGGCATATTAACAATGTTTTCTTAGGAATTTTTTTTTATTTCCTAAATCGGTACTTGTGTTTTATAAATTGAAGCGTGAGATCGTTTTAATGAGCTTCTAGATTATCCGTTGTAGATTTATATGATATATTTTGACTACAATATTTACACACTGCAACTCCAGAAGCATTGTCTTTTTGTTTCAAAATGTGTCCGTACCTCACCGGTCATTCTCGATATTTTGAAAATCAAAATAGTTCTCGTCTAATCAATTAAAAATTCTAAACAAAAAATCTTGATAGTCAAAATCAAAAATATTTAAATGTTATATAAACTTACTCACTGTTTAAGTTTATATAACATTTAAATATATAACATTTACGGTTCAGTGCGAATGGCACGACAGGCGTGGCATCGATTATTTTTGTGTGTAGCGTATGACACGTGAGTCGTGTCTTTTTTTAAATCGTTATAACTCGCTCAAATTACGTTTTTGGAAAGTTTATCAGAACTAAGTATTCATTATTTTGCAAGTAATTCGTGCCTACAGCTACGTTTCTGGATATTTTGAAAATTTGAAATTTTTAGGGGTTGACAACCTTTTTTAACTTGTACATGGTACTCTTTTTACTTTGTGGGTTTTAAATCATGTTGTGGATAAATAGTCAAATAAGTAACAAATAATAGCACTCATTGCGATCGCTCACAAACTCAAGTTGTAAATAAATTACTGGAAAACAAGTCTCCTGTTAAAAAAAAAATGCGTTTGTCTTATTATGTAATTTTGCTTAAAATGGTTGAACTGTCGTCTTATTACTATCATATGGCCGAATAGACCTACGAAGTACCATGCGCTCTTGTCATATGCTATAAGGTTTATTTTTGCTTGAAACAGTTCGAAACCGTTCATGCGTAAAAAAAGTTCGCTAATAAATAGTCTTTTCTCAATCCGCAGCCGTATAGCACCGGCGTTTTTTCCCTTTTGAAAACACTTGTTTTGCTATTCGTATTAGACGTTTTCAAATCGACTTTACTTTTACATTTGTATAACATTAAATAATATTTTAACATTAATCATAAACCTAACTTTTTTCCAAATAAAGGTTCTTGATTGTTTGATATTTACAAATATTATTATTAGGTGAATATTTAATTTAATAAAAACCAAGGTTTTCCAGGGTGATTTAGCTGTACCTACTTATATAAATGATTTTATTATAAAACAAGAAATAGTACAAAATGTTTGTAATGTCTGCATAAAAAAAAGTCACTTACTCTCAATTTCAAAGAAAACACGTAGAAAAACACGTAGTTACAACACACCCACTAAAACAAGTATAAGTTTGCAACTGATGTTTGATGTCAACTAAACTTAATTAGGTCTAAACAAGTGGAAAAAGCATAAAAAAGATAATTATTTTTACACATGGCTGATGGCACAATAGGCTTGTCATTAAATATTTGTTCGCCGCCACAGCTAGTTTTCGAAAATCGGTGCCGCAACGAATCGGTTATATTTCTATTAAACAAACACTAAACCAAAAACGAAAATAAATCATTAAACCATCTCGCAAATATAGTCTTTAAAAACTTAATAATAAGAATGATATTGATCGCATTTCAAAGTTCTAGTTAGCAAACACCCAAACATGGAACCAAAAATTCATCAACACATGATCTTGCACAGCAAATATATAATAGACTTTGAATACTTACAAGTGAGCACAATATTGATCGCATATTTCAATGTGCAATAGATTTCCATAGCTGACAAACCGAAATCCAAATCGCAAAATTCACGCCATCTTGCTATATCGTGTTTGGTTAGAAAGAGAGAAACAGAAAACGGATTTCTACGGATCAGTTTGCGTTTGGATTTTGGTCGATTTTACTGTCAATTTGGATCCGTTTGGTGGTACAGATTGTAAGATCGTAGCTTAGTTAGGTTGATTTTTGTAAATCGGATTTTCTAGTTTGAGAAATCGATACGATTCGATTTCTGTTTGAAATCGGATTTTAGATTCGTTTTGATATATCTGACGCATGCCTAATTGCTTCTTATTCATAGATTATAGATGAGATTGTTCGCTTCGTTTGTATTGTTGAAATTTTGGAAAATGGGTTTAAAATGGAAGAAATCGATCATATTTGTAAAAGACTGAATTATATAATAAAGTGAAGTGATTTGATGAGTGCCATAGGTTTATTTTAAATAGGATAGTGATTTGTGTTGTGTTGATGTAACGAATCAGTGGCAGTTGCACGCAAGATGGACGAATTGTCTAAGGGCATGTCACAAACAGGAAGCTCTTCTGTAACTGACAAAACTCAAGAAAATGATGGTAAATTTCAGCATTTTCTTCTCCTGTTTAGAATGTTATAATGTTTTCTATTTAAAAAAATCTTATACTACAAATTAGATAATACTATTTTGATTTAATTTGTCTATAATAAAACAAATGTAACAATAATATTATGAAAAACCAGAACATTTTTAATTTTTTGCTGATTAGCTTTATTGAATATAGGTCGATATAGTGCCGATATTGTTTCTAATCAGGAAATAGTTATGGTAGGATTTTGTCTTAAATATTATTGTGGTTAAAATTTAAAACATGAAATCAAGGATATTTATAGTTTTTAGTGTTTTCTGTTTATTATCTTCAAAACCATTTTTGCTTACTCTACATAATTATTATGATAAAAGAAATTTTCATTATTCTGCTTTATTTATTATTTATGTCACATTTTAATTATTAAAAGCATATTAAGTTTAGTTCGATTATCTAGTAAATACAGTTATTGCTGCTTTTATTTTCAGTTTTAACTAAACAACATCAAGCAAATTTATATATACCCAGGCCTTATAAAACTATATTTAAATTTGTTTCCAAATATAAAATGAAATTTATTTTTTGCATTAATTGTTCCTAAAAATCTGTTGGTTAAAAAGATCTTGTTTTTAGATTTCATAACATCTACAGTACCTGCCTGTTAGAAAATGTTTTGTTGTATGTTATGATTAGTACTTTTTACCTGCAATTTTAATAAGTAGCACATTGCACAGTGATTTCAATGGATGTGGACATTGATCTTTTAAAATAATATATATTTTTTAATTTAATTTATGTTGATGTTATAAAATATATCAGTACAATTATTAAAAATTGATTCATATATAATTTCTCAAAATCTGTGTCATCTTTTTGAAGCTGCTTCAATCACTGCTCATGGTATTATGCATCTGGCATAACTATTATGATTTCAAAATCCTTTTTGGAAAGTTTATATGATCTCTGGCATTTTCTATAGTTGCCTCTGTCACAACAATGGGGTGAAATATGGTGATGGATTCTCAAACACCATTACCTCAGGGCTTAATCATAGTTGTAGTCAATAGTAATAAATTTGTTAAAAAGCTTGTTATTTATATGTAAAAATGTTACTAATAACAGTTTTACATATAAATAACAAGCTTGGAGAACTTCTAAATCTTTAATTATTAATGCAAATGAAATGCATCACCTGAACAATATTTTGAGAATATTAACTTTATTAAAAATGAGCTGTTAAAAACTAGTTATTATTGTCGAAATAATGTTTACTTTCAATTTAGGGCACTAATTTGTTAAACTCTTATATAATGTTGCTACATTTAAGTAGCACAATAAGACCCTTACACAAGTGTTTTAATATCATTAGCATGGTTTGTAGTGAAGGTATTAAATAGAAGGTTTTAATTTTTTACATTCCAAGGTTAAATATTATTATTAATGTTTTTTTTTTTATTTAAATCCATTTTGTTATATACCACCCCCTTATCTATTTCTACACTAAGACTGTTAATATCATATTTTTTATTTTATTTTATTGCTAAAGTCAGGTTGGCTATTAAAAATATTATAAATATATTTAGGTATCCTATACCCACTAGTGATGAGACTTGAGTGACATTTTTTCACTCGAGTCATTTGCCAGTGATAATCTAGTCACTCGAGTGCCACTCAAATGAAGATAAGACTTTTTTCACTAGAGTTACTCACTTGTCAAAAACAAATAAAACCTTTATTTTCCATAATTACAAGTTAAGGTTGTAAGTCTTGACAAATCATTTTGATGATGAATTTTTTTTTTGAAAAACAACCATATTATAGCTATTTTGGAACTCTCACTCATTTCAAACACACACTAATAGTAAACAGTCTTATATAATCATATCACTAATACAACCAACTCAAACAAATTCATACTTAATTTAAAAAGGAAGATTGGAAGATACATGGGTTAAACATGTCTTAACTCCAATTTCTAATTAAAGTTGTTACTCGAGTGGTTAGAGTCATTTGAGTCACTTGTAATCAGAGTGTCATAAATATTACTAAAATAAAAGCTACTCCAAAGACTCCAGTGAAACACAGCTCCAGTCCCATCACTAATACCAAATAGTTCCTCAAATATATAGGGCTAAGAGATTAAGTGGTGTCAACTTATGTGGCAACCAATCTGAATATCTCCACAATGTTGCTAAAGCGTGGAGTTGCATTTATTTGTAGTATGAGAGTACTGAGATCTACAATTTATTTCTATGAGCCTTCTTAATTCTAGCACATTTATTGATGGAAGTTGTCCTAGATAAGGTATATCATTCACATCATAGCTTATATTCTTATCACTGTTACATGCACAGTAAACATTATGTAATTACAAGCACGGGGTACTTCTGTGCCCCATAAGAATTCTCTTTTACCATCGGGGTAGAATTAAAACACTTAAATTTTTTTATTGGAAATTAGTCATCATTGATGTTTATATTAGAAACAAAAAAATGTTTATTAGAAAAAAAAATCGAAACCTTATAATCATGACAGTAAACATAAGTAAAAGCTATCAAATTAACATAGGAAAAATAATTTAAGATTTTAGTCATCATTCGAAAAACTAGTAAGATCATTCAATCTTTGTTTATAACATTGATGTGCACATGTGACCTTAGATATGATGTTTTATTCAATTAATCTTGGCTCTTATAGTCATAAAATCTGGCAGTCTTAGCTCTTTCTGTACCTTGTTTAATATACAAACTTCAAAAATTTATGAAATATCTTCGAATTTCGACCACAGGTAATTATTATTATGGTTATCAATATAAAAAGTCTTAACCCCACAGAGGAGTTTCTTCTGTATCGTGGAGGAGTTTTATGAACATAAATTGCACTTGGACAAACATCCAGACTCGAACAAATATTTGTAGGGCATACAAATACTTATTCCATGACACTTCCGAGCTGTCAAATATAAAATGGCTGGCCCTTTTTTTGCATGGGGTTACAAATGCCTACACACACTTGCCTTGTGGGAGCAAGGACAGATTATGTCAGATTCACGACAACTAAAATCCCATAACGTTCCACCTTTACCTCATATTGACAGGGCCACGCTAAGACTTTCGATAACATCCGCTGCCATCACATCCGTCTTAATGCGACCGCTCCTTCTCAACATCATCAGAACAATAACATTAGGCGCAATGTCCTCCGTGGCCTCGAACTCCACATGCGCAACGCACCACCTCTAGTTCGGGGTGGTGCATTGCGGAGGCCATGAGGAAGGTAGGAAGATAGGTGCCTCGCAATTCCGACACTCTTCTCCCTTCGCGGACCCACCACCACCACATCAGCAGTGCGGAAGAAGTGTTGTTATGCCAATACGCCACTGATGTGGCGTATTGCCATAACAACACTTCTTCCCTGTTGACTCAGCTGCGGCGGGACGGTAGAGGGGATACCCCTCCTCTCACAGCCCACCAACGCTCATTTGGAATGTGCTCGGTAAGCCCAACAGGGTTCCTCTTTGTTCATTGTGGGAGACCAAGCTACGGCTATTAAGCATAGACAAAGCGGGAACCCGTTTAGGGGTGAGGGATTTAGCTGTATGAAAAGCTTATGCTCGGAGTTTCTCTGCGTGATAGATTACGCAGAGAAACTCCGACACATTCCACCCTATGGCTGCGCGTAGACAGCAATGATCATCCCCGCGTCTTCGGGTGCCTTTATAAGTCCCATAGAGGTAATGCCGACACAGACCGACTCATCGACCACGTCTAAATGGCTGCAGACTCCGTGCTACTACAGGTCCCATCCGCAGAGATCGTGATACTCGGTGATTTTAACGCCCACCACGCTGAATGGCTTGGTTCCCGTTTAACCGATCATGCGGGTAGATCTGTCTATGACTGCCTTGGCATATGGTCTGACACAACGGGTTACTTCGCCTACGCGGTTCCCAAATGTGGAGGATCATGTACCTTCTCTGTTGGACCTTCTGCTGACCTCTCATCCGGACGGATATCAGGTCTCCGTCGATGCCCCTCTGGGCTCTTGGGACCATTGTCTGATCCGGACTACGGTGCCACTCACGCTCCCGTCGCAGTTGCGATCTGCAGCTTGCCGCCGTGTTTGGCACTATAGGTCGGCTGATTGGGACGGGATGCGGTCTTTTTTTGCATCCTACCCTTGGGGGCGGGTTTGCTTTTCGCCGGATGATCCCAACGTTGTTGCTGATTCTGTAGCTGATGTGGTAGTTCAGGGAATGGAATTATTTATTCCATCATCTGTGGTGCCTATCGGAGGCAGAAATCAGCCATAGTTTGGTTTACTCCTGTAAAATTGCATCACGCTATAAGCAGGAGTGCTACCGGCCTGGGCTCACGCATCAACGTCCCGGGATGTAAACACCAGCGCTCTTAAAAAGAAGTATAATTCCGCCTCCAGGTCCTTCAAAAGTGTCATTGCCAAGGCAAAGTCAGAGCACATCGGCAGAATTGGCGGGAAACTAGTTCGCATCCCTTCGGGAACATGTGCATTCAGGTCTCTTACTAAGGCTGTCGAAGGGAACTTATGTCAGCCATCTCTGCTATCTCTGCACAGGGTGGACGGCTCACTGGCCCATGACGTAAAGGAGAAAGCCGATCTGCTAGGCTCTCTTTTTGCTTCCAACTCTACTCTAGATGACTGGGGGGAACACACCACCGACCATCCCGCGGTGTGAGTGCTCCATGCAGGAAGTGCTGTTTACTCTCTCTCTCTGGACATAAACAAGTTGAGTGAGCCTGATGGAGTCCCACCTATTGTGCTGAGGACATGTGCTCTGGAGTTGGCACCGGTTTTAACGCGTCTATTTCGGTACTCCTACTCCCTAGGCGTAGTCCCGAACTCATGAAAGACAGCTTTGGTGCACCCGATCCCTAAAAAAGGTGAGCGCTCAGACCCGTCCAACTACAGGCCTATCGCTATCACCTCCTTGTTCTCCAAAGTAATGGAAACCATTACTAACAGCCAGCTCA